AGCGATAAAAGACGGAGCAGTCGCGCGGTATTCTTGCAAATTTGTACATACGTGCACCCGCTCTTACCGCTGTTGCTGCTGCTGCTCCAGGTTCAGTGACATCACGCACGCATATGCGTGACGCGCCGTGCGCACCGTTATGCCCATAGCCTGCCCCATAGCGCCCACTGCGGAAGTATCACCATATTACTCAGCGGTACGACATATACGCGACGATCGGCGTCCGTGCCGATGCACCGAGTCTATGCACTCCGTTAATCCGCGAATCGCGTGAAAGCAGCGTACAGATCAAACAGAATTCTTCCCTCGTTTATAGCAATTAATATACGGCACGTATAAATCTCATCGTAATAAAAATTTATTTACCTTCTGACTTTTCATTCGCGCATGACAGGCAAGGTATTTCCCCTTTGTCTTTTTCTTGGAAATAATTTAAGAATGCAGATTGATGGGATGTATAATTTTTCAATTATAATTAAAAATCTCTCTCGTGGAAATTTGACGAGGAGAATCTACGAGAGATGCGAATATAGCATCTATGCAAGACCTTCGACGTTCGCATCGTGAGCGTGCAATAATCAGAAGCTAGTAGGAAGCCGAGAGAATCTTGATGGAGGCAAAGCGACGATGAAGTCGGCGACCGGTCGCTCAGTGCCAAGGACACGGACGGTAGACAATGCAATCCTCGGCCGCGGAGAAGCCAACCTCTAATTACGCGCTTCTGCTTGTTACATTTTATCCGCGCACCTTCGTCTCTATACATGCATCGCTGCGCGTTACTACTCCATTATAGCAAGAGAGGAAGGAATCGCGAACTATCTTGATACACAATGCAAACGCCGATAATCCTATTTACATAATTGCTAAAACGAATCCATTAAGCCGTACGCGAAGGCGGAAAGTCATGTAATTCAAACGCGAGAACCAGGCAAAGCGAAGAAACTCACCTATGGCTTTATTATACGACATAATTAACATTCATCCAGTCATAGAATCTATTCATTCGAGCTAATTTCTTTTTTATGCGAAGATCATCGACACAATAGCAAATATATATACTTCGAAGAAATTATGCGCAATATTTTTTCAACGCTATAAAATATGTCAGTGAAGATGAGCCGTCGTTCTTCTTCAAATTCACTTCACGTTCGAGAATGTAATATTCTCTGACAAAGTGTTAAAGAAAAAAAAAAGAACGTAATGACAACACGGGTGATAGCTTTACAGTACGATCGATTAAAAATAGATGCGAGGGTCATGGTGTATTCATTGCATATAAATGTGCGTGGCTGCAGGTCACTACCCGATTTCAAGGAAACGCCATCGTCTGACCTCCGTCGTCGCGGTCATTACATTCGAGGTCTGTCCGAGTTCGTAGCCGAGTAAGAGAGCGTGAAGAAATGTTTCAGCGAAATATACGCGTAAATCTATCTTACAGAGAGGCGATTTATTGTGCTCAATAAGCATCGGTTAACCAAAGACCGACTCCTTTCAAAAAATACTGGATATAATGCATCTCAGCAATTTATGAAAAGCACGATAGAAGGAAGAGATACCCAGTTACATTTTTACTTTTAATTTATACAATCTGTACAATATAATATCAATAAAATATAAAAATAAATATAAATAATGCAAATAAAATGTAAAATGAGTAAAAAGACGTGAATATTTGTCTTATATAATTTATTATTATGAATTATTTTCTATTAATGAAAGAAAAATTGACACGTCAATATCTTTAAGTTTTCACATTCGATTCGCAGCTATATTGATTCTTTAAACCGGTAGAAAGTACATTCACGAATTTTCCATGGGAGAATACTTCCGAGACTCGGAAATATATTTTTGTGAAAAAGCGAGAAAACCACCGAGTGATCACCTCAAAAATCGATAATATAGTACAACCCTTCTCTCTACGCTTGTCCATTCGAATCTTATTATTGCCAACCTTTCTATTGTCCATCGTACAATATATTGTTGTAAAGAAGAATTTCTCTTTATTTTATTTTGTTCTACGTATTTTTTGTCGCATATGAACGTATAAATATAAACTTTCTTTGATGTGTACAGTTAGGTAGAATGTATACAGTTAGAATTAGAATGTTGTCAAAAATTGAGATGATTGAAACGTGTCAAGAATGGGAGTCGACATATGTTCTTCATTGTTACCTTTTTTTTGTGGCGATTTTACAACAAAACAATTACAGAGCATCGATCTCGTTCTTTTTCTTCTCTTGCACATAAATAATTAATCAAGCATCATAAATAACTAAACAGTACATAAAAAGATTGATAATTTATAATCAGTTTTGTATGAGTAGTAAGTTTAGTTTTGAGACCTGATTACCGCAATATTCAATTTTCTTATAAACAAAATCCTTATTTTTAAACTTAATTATATATGCTGCTTATTTCAGTATATAAACTAAATTTTTCCATTCTTATTGCATAGTTGAAGAGAATCAATAATTAGTGGGTTTGATATCCAGTTCAGTTTTATCAGCAGTAATTCGATGCGACGTAAGAAAACCGATAAACAGGCAAGAGAATGCGATCGGGACACCGAGTGTATTTATGTTAGAATACCGACATCAACTTGATCTCTCAGTCTGATTCAGCGAGTATGTCGAATCGTCATCACATTTTTCGTGCAAACATATACGTGACGATCAGTTTTTCGTTCATAAATATGAATCTCTTGATGACAAATTTTTAAATCAGATTAAATTATTATTACGAATAATACTTTCACAATTGAATTATGATATTCTTAAATCATCGCACGAAGAAAATTCAAATTAAATTAGTAAGACTCTCATGTGAAATACAAATTTAAATTTTATCTGGTTACAGTAATACGTCAATTTTAAGGAAAATTAATTTTTCATTGAAACTGTAAGGGAGAAAAAGATCGGAGCAAAATCCTGAATCGAATTATTTCTCGTTTCTTTGAAAGGGATCAAAGGGGAAAGGAGTTCATTAAAATAAAAATCTTAAATTAAGATTTATTTAAATATCGGTATTGGTCAAGAAAACTTTGTACCCTGCATAACTAATCAGTTTCGATGAAGAAAATACGTTCCTTGAATCTGACACATTATCATCCGCATTATCTGACTTATCAGAACAATGAAATTTAAATTTGTGTTTGACCATGAAAACCTTATTAATTTCTTTCTTCACTCCGGCTAAACAATAGCATTATTATAAATATACATATATATATATATATGCAAACCGAGAAGCGTAGGGGGAAATTTGTGCGCAACTGTAATCAGTTTCGATAAAGAATTACTCTTTTTCGCAAATAGTAGGAACTAAAGCGGGGCATATGCCGCAAGGAAAAAAAAGAAGGAAGGAAAAAAGAGCAAAGGGGAAGAACACTTGCGATATAGAGACATAAGGAAAGAGTGAGTAAGCAAAAAGAGAGAGGAACAAGTGTGGGAATAGAAAGAAAGAGAGGTAAGGGACAAGGATATGACGAAAGGAGGAAAGAGAGAGAGAGAGAGAGAAAGAGAGAAGCGATGCGACAATCAGTACGCTCGCGGTTAGCTCGAGCGAGAGGGCGCATGGCCTTGGCCGCCGCTGCGGGGTAATTCAGTCAAGGTTTCGGCCGATGAACTTCCTCCAACGGGAGGAAGGAGACCCCGCCGGCTGGTCGGCGGTAGACGTGGTGGGGAAGATGGACCAATCGCACGAGTGCAAGGCCCGACGAGCCGACGACGGATTGGTCGGGCCCGTCGTGATCGCGACGGCAGAGAGCTCCGACAGGGCCCGCAGCGACTTGTCAGTGACCTCCAGCATTGAAAATACGATGAACTCTCTCGGGGGGCCCTGTAAGAGAGCGTACGGAGCCGATGTGTTGTGTGTCCTCTACTACATACTAGGTAGCCAGGGCGTAGACATTGTAGATGGTCGAGGCTGCCTGCGATAGCCTGGCAAGCGAGCAGGCACATCAATCCCTCCCCACCTTCGGAGTTGGTCAGAGTTGCCGAGTAAGGGCTGCACGGCCCCCAGGTAACCAATACTCGGCAGCACCGAACACGAGTCAGACCAACGCGAACCTCCCTCGAGCGAAGACTTACTTTCACTCTCTCTTCGGGTTACCCATCCGCTCGCTCGTGCGTTCGTGCTACCATCCTTCGCGTTTGCCGGCGAGCATCGCGCCTATAACACCTGGCTGTAACCTTTGCACGCTCGCAGATCGTACCGATCCTTCGTACGCCTCGGAGCGGAGTTCAGTTCTCTCGAGCGGAAGTTTGCGGTGCCCGCGAATCGATATTCATTCATTAGTGATCCGGTCATTAGTGAGAGCTTGGTGACAGTGAGAGCGAGATGGGAACCTAGTGGACCGATATCGAGAAATATGGACCCTAATCGTTCTCAGTGAAAAGTGTCGTGAGCAAACGGATGCAGTTTCCGTCCGGGAAGAGAGAACACTGACAGAGGGTGACGACGTTTCCCCATCTCCCCGAAGAAACATGATTCTTATTCCGGACAGTAGCGCGCAGGACACGTTGGCAACGTCTCCCGAATCCCTAATCGTTGATTCCCGCGTGTCCAACGTGCCACCGCGTGTACCCGCTCAGGGCATGTCTAGTCCGTATCACGTAGCGCAATTAGCGGCTCATCTTAGTCCGAGTATGCCGACGATGGATTCGACAGTCTCCTCGGCCAAGCCGGAGCCCGAACTCAACATAGGTACGCGAAACAATTTATCTCTTCTTGACGCCGCGCCGTGATAAATAATGCAATTTAAGACGAGCGCGTGCGAGCGTAAAAAAAAAGCGGGTGGAACTGCAGGTGAAAGCAGAAAGTTGTAATACAGCGATGCTGTAACACGCCGCACGCGCGCGCAAGAGAGAGAGAGAGAGGAGAAAGTGTTCTTCTTTCCCTCCCACCTTTCTCTCCATCGCGGCACGTGGAGAGGAAGCCGCGGGAGAGGATATCGTTCGCGACGACCTGCATTAACGGAACGCACTTCTCTCGTGTTTCAGAATTCGATGGGACCACCGTGTTATGCCGGGTCTGCGGTGACAAGGCGTCCGGTTTTCACTATGGAGTCCATTCCTGTGAAGGATGCAAGGTGAGTACCGACGGATCAGTTGTCAGTTGCGTTGCGATCCGATTCTGTCAGCGCTATTGTCGAGGCTCGAGGAGGAGAGCTTGCGTTACAATATCTAATCGGATTTTTAAATCAAAGATTCTGCTGACGGAGTCCGATGTCGCACGAGCTGTGTTTTCGCGCCGAGCGATTTCGATATGTTTGTCCGGTGTTTTGTTGAGAAAATCGAGCTCGCTTCACCCCGTTGTCGGGACATCGACATTTATTGGTTCGTAATTGAAAAAATATCAAAAGTAAATCAATTAATTTTAATTGGAGAATTATTTATAATTAGAGAAAAAATTTATGAGATCAAATTTCGTTGAAGTAGGATCTTGGTTGAAAAAATCTGTGGTAAAAAAAAATGATTCAAAATTGTTTAAAGAATCTGTAGACGCCTCTCAAAAATATCGAAATTGCTAATGAGCGGTACGGCCAGTCGGAATGAACGTGCGTGTGTGAATGTGCGTGAACCAAGGCTGTATAGGAAATGTTGACCGAGCACGAGTTAACCTTGGTCACGCGGAAATCATAAAAGATTTGAGGTGGTCCTTGAGGTTATTTCACGACCCGGTAGTTCCCCCTCATCGGCAAGGAATCTCCGCGAAGGTCTTTTTCGATTTACGTATCGCCAGGGTCATTGTGATCATCGACCATCGAAGCGCGAACTTTTCAATCGTAACTTTTATATCGGAATGATCAGTGTAATCACGATCAAAAACATTAATCATTTCCTCGTAGATTCTCATTGACATTCAATACGCCTCTGCGTCATTTTTTTTTTTTGCGTTACTGAGACGCCATCGGTCTCAGGAAGAGAATGGAACAACTTTTAAAAAAGAATTTAACCATTGCGTAATCGTATATTACGTAAGAGCGCACAAAAAATGTGTTTTTTTTTTCATCGTGATCTTTATGACTACTAGTCAAAGTAATTCAGGAAAAGGTTCTCACAGCAGGTAGACTTCAAATTCTTCCTACCGATCCCTTTTTTGACAGCAGTTTGCCTAACAGCTTAACTAAATCCTAACCAAATGAAAAATCCAGGAAGCTATTTGATCGGAGCATTATTGTTACATTTCGTGTTTTAGAGGTAAAAGAAAATTCTTTTTCTCTTTATAATTTCACGAGTTCAGTCGTGTCTCGATTTTGACATCTTTCGTTTCGATACCCGCGTCTTTCAACACACTCGACCGGAAGTGGGATAGCACTGGCTATCGGCGCGTTTTAGGAAGTGAAGGAACGGCGCCACTACCCACCGCCGAGTTTACCACTTCCAGCGACACATGACGGAAGGTAGAGGTGGTTGTACTACCAGGTGCTGTGCATCGTTCGCGCTCGCAGATCGACTTAGACCATTCGCGCGGTAACTTCGTATTATCATCTCTCTTCTACTCTCGCGATTCGCGGCCACTTTTACGAATCTTCGTACAAGATAAATGCATTAACGTAATACATTTCCTACTCGAATGCAATCGTCACGAATTGTTAATTATCATTTTTGTTAGATTTTTATTTCTTACAAATTTATTATTATCAATAAATGTCTATAAGAGTTTCTGTCAGAATTACGATATGAATTATTAAAGAACTTAATAATTGAAAGTTTTCTTGATATATTCTTGACTTATGTTTATATATATTTTCGTCTTGCAAGACTGATTGAATTCTCTTCTATATTAATTCGCTGTTTAATATGAACAGATATATGTGTAGAATATAATGTTGAGATTCAAAATAGACTGAATAATATTTCCATATTCTTCAACACAACTCTTTGAGAGTAATAGATGAATAATTCATTCAGTCGCTTTTCCTATTGGGATAATCGAACGGAACCGTCGGGTAGACACGTTAGTGGGGAACCCGGTAGCGAAAAGAAAGAGAGTTGGGCCAACCGAAAACCCAGTCATCATCGTAACGATCACAGGAAGGTGAGAGTATCGGGAGGACCTTTCGATTCATGCCGTGGAGCAGGTACTTCTGCTTTCATCGCGTTCTATTGTAGGCATGAAAAAAAAAAAAGTAGATCGGCCGCATTCCACGTGAAAACACCTGGCCAGCCAAGGATTTTTCCGTCTCCCCGAACCGTCCTCCCACTTTTCGTCACAGTTTCCGATGCTTGAAATTCACTGGAAAGACTAATCGGTAGGCAGAGTCATGGCCCCCGGTTGGTTGACTAGGTCAGTAACTTATGGCCGCAGCGCCGTAAGAGGCGTTAAACCGAACGAGTCTCCACCGAGTGACCTAGCCGCTAGCGGTAGACCGTCTTAAGGTACTGGAAGAGGGGCTGCGTGGAAAGGGAAGAGAACGCGGAAGAGTGTTGGATATCTTTAAGACTAGGTCGCTCGGTCGCACCACTGTTGCACTATTTCGCTCTACCGTCTCTCATCGGTAGTACGCTACTTTTCTCCTCGCGTCGCCGCGGATTGCAACACTGAAATATTAATGTGGCTGGAGGAGAAAAAATGTTTGTCGATCGGAGTATATATTACGATATTTTTGTATGATTTCTATCAATTAATGATAGATTCGAGAATATTTTGAAAATGGACAAAAGTTGACGAAAAAAAAATATGTTTGTCGGTTTATTAAAGTATCACGAAGAAGAATAAAATAGATGCGTATTCTTGAATATTTTAAATCAATTCGAGTTAAATCGATTACGGTTCGGAAATAGTCGAACGGTGCTATTATCGCCCTACTCTTGCTGCCATAACGGTACATATAGAGATTTGAAATAAATATGATTTTCACGATATTAATACTATACGTGCTTTAATAATATTTTAAATTGATAAGTTTTGACTTATAAAACATATATAAGCTTTGAAATTGTTGGAGAAATAAAAATGGATTTTTCATTAATGTTGAAAGAGAGATCTCTTCCAATTAAGCAAATTTTAATCTAAAATTAAAACATATAAATTTCTAAGATTCTTTCTCGATACAATAGAGCCGTGAAAAAAAAAATCGTCATAAGCTCCAATATTCTCACGTGGCTACGATCTTCTCGAAAAGACGTTATTTAAGAAAAAAAAATAAGATTGTTGAATACAGTGAAGTTCCTCTTTAAATCTCCGCGACGAAACAATCATCGGTGGAGGTGCACGTCGACGCTTTTTCCGGAGGGTTGAAATCAGGCGACCGGTGCATTAACCCTCCGGTCGTCGACCCTCCGAGCCAGTTACGTCACTCTCCCTCCTTCTCCACCTTCTCCTCCCTCATTCCGCTATCCTCTCCACACACCCCTTCCCACGGGGAAGCCTTCCCCCACTTTCCCCTCCCCTTCTCGGATAACCGTCATTTTTGACGTCGTAACGAGTCGCGATCTCATTTTCATTTGATTGCGCGAGTATTTCGGTGCTCGCTCGAGGTTACTGACCCCGGTGCATCTACTTTAGAATCGGGTCAGTCGCTTATTATCGTGGTAGGTGTTCGCTCGACATGGTATCTGTCCACCGGAGCTCTCTTCGAGATAACGCTTCCCCGGCGAAATCGGACCGCAATTTTTACACCCGATAAATTCGTCCTGCGAAACACGATACCATCGGCAAAAAGTATAATGGATCATTCTCGCCTCTTCCCGAGATACGCGTCACACGTATCGGCGAATCAATGAACTTTGAAAGGGCTCGTCGGCATAAAATCGGTAACAATGGCAGAAGATTCCTATAAATTTTAATTATTTTCGAAACACGATCCGAAGATCAATTTTGATACCAAGAGCATTATCTCTCTAGACTGATCGAGATCGATGTCTAATTATACACCATTACACTATATCAGCAGGGTGTACAAAAGTGTCATATCTCTGACCTCCGATCGACTTAACCGATATCGATGCGCCCGGGCAACAGAATAGAACGGCAAATTCTTGGGGTCGTAGGAGAGTGCTAGAGCGAGAGCTGGCTAGCTAGCGAGCGGTTAATGCCCTCGAAGCGGAGAGTGTCGCGACTGTTGGAGCGCGCACGCGCGCGCGTTACGTACGTCACCGTTACTCCGTTTCGCGTTCTCCTCTCCCTCCCACCCCCGCCCTGCCTCCTACTTTTACTATGGTACCTCCCGCCCCCACTCTTTCTCCCTCTGTGGTAGCAGATACGTTCACCTTCCCCTACCGTCCCTCAGACACAGATCGCCATATCCCTCCATCCGTTGCAGTAGTCGCGCGCTCCGGTCGTTGGCCCCGCGACCACATCGTGTGTACGTCTCACACTCTCTTTACCTATATATATATATATATGTGTACTCATATGCAAGCATGTACGCGCTCGTATACAACCCCGTCATCGTCGTTCCTGCCAAGCGCTCTGTCGCTCGCCACGGAACATAAAATTGGAGCTTTAACTATCGATCAACCATGATCCTGCTAAATCGTTGGAGAGATCGCGCGAGTCCTCCTGCAGAAGATTAGAATCGCGCTGTCAATCTTTATTATAGTCGTATATTTTGGGTGTTTATTATTGTTTAGAAAATTGGAGAAAATTCTTTCTTTTTTTTTTTTTTTTTTTTTTTTCTAAAAATTTAATTACCGAGTAATAAGAACGACTTTTGCAGAAATGAGTTTTCTCATCTCGACGAATGGAGAACGGAGAACTTTCTCAATCCGGCGAAAGTTTCGGCGGATGCGAGCGAGCGCGTCATTTTCGTTTGGTTCTCTTCTCGATGAATTTTTCCCGAAACTATTGTCGAAGCCAATGATCAATGTTGGAATTGTGGAACAATGAAAATCGAGATTTATAGTATAAAATTAGGTGGGAGCATAACAAAAAAAAAGAATATCTCTAGAAATACTTTTATAGCAGCTGAAGAATCAACTCTTAATTTTCTAATTTTTTTTTTTTTTTATTATCGTAAAGATTTGAAGAACAAGACGCGGAACAACTTGAGGTAGCTCGCAAAGGTGGTCGCCCCCTGACCCGTCACGGGCCATGCACGGTTCGAGAGATCGATGCACCGCATTCCCCCACACACCTCCTCCTTCACCCTTCGCTTGTCGGATTCCCGCCGACCGAGAGGTTCAACAGGGGTTGCTGGCCTCGTCCGGGCATCCACGACGGTAGCTCGTGGCCCGATTTTTTTTTTTTTTTTTACAAAAATCTAAACATCTCGAATCGAATTTTTCAGCCTCTTTAAAACGCACAAAATAATAAAAAGCATAATTATTCCATTTTCATCTCGAATATAATACTTGAAGTACCTTGCGAAACGAGTCGGAAAGGAGAGAGAATTTGGATTATTTGATTACTTTATTATCTCGTTCGAGCGATCGGAGAGGCTTAGAGCATCGGGGCAACACTGACAGTTCGTTGACTCGCATCAAACGCTCGCCGCCGATTGACAGCCCGGGCGCGGAGGTGCAACGGTACATCGTTTCGACGATGCTCCGCACGAAGTTGAGGTAGGCGAGGTCGCGCGTCTGACGTCACACGCGGCGGAGTTACTCCGAGCATCGCCAACTTTTCGTACGCGTACGTGCATACAAGCGCGGCCGTCGACACGACACGTCGACGATCACGGCAACGTACATAGAAGAGCCTCACGTAGGGTCCCCCACGCGTCGTTTGTCGCGCGCGTTACGTAATCGTCTCGCGAGGTCGTTGACCGATACACGACGGGAAGTATCTTCGCACTAACCTACCCCTTTCCCGATTTTATTCATTCTCGAGTCTCCTCGCGGAGGACGCATCTCATCTCATCTCGGTAACGGTTAACGAGATCGAAAGATAAAAAGGACATAAAAAAAAATATATATATATATAGCAAGAGGGAGATTTCTCTATATTTGTGAGGTGGGTGGATGTTAGAGGGGTATCAGCGCGAGGGTAGGAACCGAGAGAGGTAGGGCAGGTCGTTCGGAGAGGGTGGCTCCGAATGGTGGGTTGGAGAGGGAAGAAACCCGTTAGTAGAGCGCCCGTGAGCCTCTATGGTAGCGCTCGCGGTAGATACGACGAGGAAGACATTATCTAAGGTTCACTCTGGCACGAGAGAGAGAGAGAGAGAGAGAACTGGGAGAAAGAGAGAACTCAAAGAGGGAGACGGCCGAGGAGCGCCAGTGCGCGCAAGGGGACTCTCACTTTCACGCGGTGAACTGCGGGTGAACGTCCGGGAATTAGGTCACAGTGTCCCCCACCTCGGCATGCCAGAGGCAATGTGCCGAGGCTCTATGTTCTCTGTGCTAGAAAGAGCCAGTCCACAGCCAAGCTCCGATACAAACGGTCGCTTCTTGTGAAACTCGCGTTGCACTTTGGTATTCGCGCGTCCACCTATAGGGAAGAGAGACTATATACACGCGCGAGTTTTGGTGAACGCGTGAAGAAAAACAGTGACCGCCAGAGAGGCTTTTGTTAAAGGCCTTAGGTAGCGTCATCGAGTGATATAATCATTTGGTTCGACGCGATATATAAACAGAGACTTTCGTTGCATCGTATCTCGTTCAGATAAGCCGTGCGATTTCCATTTTCCCAAGTCGGAGTGAATTAATGGGGTGCTTGTGCGAATGTGATCTGGCCGCCCCGCGTTCGGGGACCGATTGTTCATCGGGGTCTTCGTCGGACAGCGACGGTCAGATTGACGAGGGTTTTGTTGGTGATTCGCAGGGCTTTTTCCGCCGGAGCATCCAGCAGAAGATTCAGTATCGGCCGTGCACCAAGAATCAACAGTGCAGCATCCTCCGAATCAACAGGAATCGCTGCCAGTATTGCCGTCTCAAAAGTGCATCGCCGTCGGCATGAGTCGTGATGGTGAGTCTCTTTTTAATATTTCACGCGCAAGAATTTATTCTCGCCTCTTCGCACATGGAAAATTCGCGAGAGTATAACGCAATTTGAAATATTTATCTTGTAATCATATCAATAATCTTTTTCTCCTTTTCTCGAATCGTATAAGATAAGCAGCCTCTCTTTCGACCGAGCTCCCAATCGCACCAGATTAAGTAAAACGTCGCAATCCCCTTCCCCGTGCGTTTCTCGCGAAACACGCTTTTCACGAAGAGTTTCTAAAATTTAGTTTGCCAGGTCATTGACCGTTTGCGTAACGTCGTTCCCCGCGACACGGCGGAATGTCGCAACGGGCGAAAGTGGCCAGTGCGCCGTTTGAGAAAGCAACGGCGATTATCTCTCGATTGGCGTATAAGCAGATCTTGCTTTCTTTTCTCGGCGAATCGATCAAATCCCAACTGATCGTCTCTGATTGTCGAATAATCGCGGTAATGCAGTTGCGCGCGCGATGCTTCGCAGCATCTCCCGCCGGGATCATTGACCTAGGTCGTCGACATGTCGCGCGGGCGCAAATATATATATATATATATATATATACACATACACATACATATATATATATATTTATATATCACGCTCGATGAAATTAGAACGCGCTGTTCTTTAAATATAGATACGAAACTACGATATTAATCAATTTTGACAGATAAAAATCTGCATACAATATTTGAATAATCATGACCGATTGGTAAAGGGTGTATAAATCTCTAAAAAAAAATTGGAAGATACGAATTTTGGTTATTTCGTTCGGAAAATCGATGCGCCTACCGATATCAATGCGCGATTCGCGGGGTCAATAGACGGCCGCTGCGTTCGTCTGGCGGATGATTCCAAGTCCATAGAAAGAGTACCGCTACTCACACCGCTACGTTCCCCCTTTCTCCCGCTTGACCCTCCCACCATCTTTCACCCTCTTTCCCACTCTACATCGTCGTCGCTCCCTCAACTTCTTCTCTCTTCGGTCGTGGTCCCCACCGAGAGCCGACGGCGATGCCGCGCCGTCGCGTGGCGCTACACTTGAAGCGGAGACCTCGCGAACTTTGCTTCATAACTACATTTCCCTTCCCCGAGGTATACGCGTTCCTCTCCTTCACATCTCAGTTTCTCCCTCCTACGACCGGCCGCGGATCCACCTGGCCGGTAGGCGCATGCTCCCGTCGCAGACCCCGTCGTCTGGCCGAAGCCGTACGTGACCAGCCGGTCATAGCGCTTCGCGCTTTCCGGCCGACAACTCGTCGTCATTATGACCGGTCGCGTTTTCCCTCCATCTGCCCGTGTCGTTTGTATATATCCGCGCGAATCTTTACGAATGCGACTTTGGATACGAGTTTGTACACTCCGCGAGATGGATCGGAAATTTTGGTGCAGACTCGACAGGCTTGAGAGAACAAAGAGAAGACCGCGTTCTTGAATATTGAATAAGTCACCTTGACTTTCGCCCCGGGATACTTCCTCTACATAATTATTTTTCTATTTATTTCCTATTCATACGCGCCGTCACTCTTTAATGATTCTTCGTTCTCGTGATTGAATCGTAAAGACCTTGAGATGATATAATTGAGAGAGAAATCGGTACTTTAGCTTTATAGGGTCGGTATATTTTCAACGTTGACGATCGATAGTCCGCAAATAGATAAGTCGACTATCGACAGCTGGTGACAGGGCAGGTAGCCAGAGCGAGGGGTTGCCCAAGGTCGTCGAGGGTAAGTTACCCCCGACAAAGGAAGTTTGCATCTGCGCATAGAAGACGACTATCTTTCTCGCTCCTCACGTTAAACGCTACGCTTGACGCGTCGTACATTTGCTCGCTATATAGTGTATATAGGTCGGCAGTACGCCTCGTGCGGCTGTCGCTGAAACCAAGTTCAAGGCCAAAGGCTCGGCAAAGGCCACAATCGCGCGCGATGGTGGGGGTCGTTGATGGCTGAATAAGTGGAGGGGCTGTTGAACGCAACTCGCGGAACATCACTCAGTCGGCTGTGATGCTGTCTCGTGTCTGCACGCGTACTACGGTCGCGCTGATTCTTCAAAGTCGGAGCAGTCTCTTCCTCGCGAGCACGCGCTATCTTGGAGTGACTCGTGCTTCGAGTCAGCCGAGAGGATTCGTTCGATGATTGTTAGTCGCGCAAGAGCAACGTCATCACGCAGAGAGCCTTCGCATGACAGTGACAATCGCGATGTCGGACGGTGGTGATTTATAGTGACCGATATAGAAAAGTTATAGTCACGTGCAATATCAAAAGTGCGATCGAATCTGAAAATTCATCTGATTACTTTTACACGCGGTTTCCCTGAATCGTCATGGGAGACGAGTTGCCGATTCTAAAAGGGATCCTCAATGGAGTAGTCAACTATCATAATGCACGTAGGTGTCTTTACACGGCGATAACGTTTACGCGCGGTGTGATAGCGATCGGAACGTTTAGCAACATCGTACTTTCTAACCGAGGAGCACGCGGTCGCTCGCACTTTCATCTCTTCTCGCGCGAGAAAGTCGTGCGCTTTCCCCTCTGACTTTTTCACCTTTAGCGCGGAACCATATCTGGTGTGACGGTACTTGCGCTTTAAATAGCCGTAGAGATTTTACCGTAATTCGAGAGAGAGAGAGAGAGAGAGAGGTGTTTCCTTCGATTCACTCGCTCTTACGTGCGCGAGCATCACGCGAATGTCGACGTTTGTTCGCGCGAAGGTTATCTCGCGCTAGCGGTCGGCGGGTCCGTTGCATGATTCATCCATTGATCGCATTAACTATTTATCGTCGTGCTTCCTTTTGCGCGCGACGTACGAGCTTCGCAGCACATCTAACCGATCATCATCCGTTTCTGATTACAGCGGTGCGATTCGGCCGCGTGCCAAAACGTGAGAAGGCCAGGATTCTGGCTGCCATGCAGCAGAGCTCCCACAGCCGTTCTCAGGAGAAGGCGGTAGCAGCCGAACTGGAGGATGAACAACGTCTTCTCGCGACCGTTGTACGAGCCCATCTCGACACATGTGACTTTACCAGAGACAAGGTGGCCCCGATCCTCGCCAGAGCCCGCGAGACCCCAAACTACACCGCGTGTCCACCGACCTTGGTAAGCAAGCTCGACCTTTTCTCTTGACATTGACGGGTTACGCAAGCCGTTTCGCGCCGCGCATTAAGATTTGAACAGTCGGCGTCGTCTACGCTGACGTCAATAGCTCCGCGGGCCTTGGGCCGTCTTGATCTTTCGAGCGTTCTCTCTACGCGGAAATCGCGCAAGAACCAGGCGACCTCGGCTACCGCGAAGGAGGAAGCAAGAGCCGACGAGAGCGCGTAAACCTCGCGTCTCGTCTCACCTCGCCTCGTCTCGTCTCGTTCCTCCTTCCCTCACGAGGACGCCTGGTATGCTCTTCCGAGTAACAACGGACGACCTTCGACGTGATTTAACGATTCGTCGCCTCCTGACCTCGAAATTTCGGTTCTTCTGTTACAGGCATGCCCCTTAAATCCTAATCCGCAACCATTGACCGGGCAGCAGGAACTGCTACAGGATTTCTCCAAGAGGTTCTCCCCGGCCATACGCGGTGTCGTCGAATTCGCGAAACGTATACCTGGATTTAGCCTGCTGGCACAGGACGACCAGGTCACGCTACTAAAGGCCGGCGTTTTCGAGGTGCTGCTCGTACGGCTGGCGTGCATGTTCGACGCTCAAACGAACAGTATGATCTGCTTAAACGGCCAGGTGCTCAAGCGAGAGTCCATCCACAATAGTAGTAACGCGCGATTCCTAATGGACTCGATGTTCGACTTTGCCGAAAGGGTCAATTCCTTGCGATTATCCGACGCTGAATTAGGATTGTTCTGTTCGGTGGTGGTGATCGCCGCCGACAGACCTGGGCTTCGCAATACCGAATTGGTCGAACGTATGCACAATAAGCTCCGAAACGCTCTACAAACGATACTCGCGCAGAATCATCCCCAGCATCCAGACATTCTCCGCGAGCTATTGAAGAAGATACCGGACCTAAGAACTCTGAATACCCTTCATTCGGAAAAACTTTTGGCGTTCAAAATGACCGAGCAACAACAACAGCTGCAGGCTCAGCAACAACATCAACAGCAGCAACAACAAACGCACGTTATCACCGCTCAACAACAATCACATTGGCCAATGGAGGAAGAGCCCCCGGCATCCTGGGGTTCCGCTTCGGATGTAACTCTGGACGAAGCGGTCAAGAGTCCGCTGGGTAGCGTATCGAGTACCGAAAGTACTTGCAGCGGTGAAGTTGCCTCGTTGACGGAATATCATCACGTCGCACCGCCTAGCGGTCATCATGCATCAAGCGCGCCTCTTCTAGCCGCTACTCTGGCCGGTGGACTTTGCCCGCATAGACGACGAGCGAATTCAGGCAGTACCAGCTCCGGGGACGACGAGCTTCATCGCGCTACCATGTCGAAGACACCTCAACCGCCGCAATGTCCGCGATTCCGCAAATTAGATTCACCGAGCGACAGCGGAATCGAATCCGGCACCGAGAAGACCGACAAACCGGCCAGCAGCAGCGCCAGCAGCGCACCCACGTCCGTGTGCTCGAGTCCGCGTTCGGAAGACAAGGAAGTCGAGGACATGCCGGTGCTGAAACGCGTGCTCCAGGCGCCACCGCTGTACGACACCAATTCTTTGATGGACGAAGCTTACAAGCCGCATAAGAAGTTCCGCGCCTTGCGCCAGAAGGACAGCGCCGAAGCCGAGCCGGTCGTGGTGGTCCAACACACGCAGTCTCAGTTGCACAGACATCTGACTACGCCACCAGCGCGAAGTCCGCCTACGCAAACGGCGCAACCCCAGTGTCCGCAGACTGCGAGTTTGCTGAGCAGCACGCATTCCACCCTCGCGAGAAGCTTGATGGAAGGCCCGCGGATGACAGCGGAACAGATGAAACGCACGGATATCATACACAACTATATAATGCGCGGCGAGGCAAGCCCTAGATCGCCCACAGCATCGCCGTCGCCCGCGGAGCAATGCGCGTCGACAACTACCGCGACAGCGCGCACAACGCAAGGATCTCAAGGTCTTCTGCAATGCGCCACCACGAGCTACTCGAACAGATGGCCGGCCACTTCGGTAATCACGACAACGACAGGCGCGCGACAACAGCAGCAGCAGCAACAGCAGCAGCAACAACAGCAGCAGCAACAGCAGTCTTCCTCGGACTACCTCGCTGTTGGCAATTCCCCGGCTTCGTCGCCGAGATACCTATCCGCGGCGGCGACTAGCAGTACGAGTACGAGTCCGAGACCGACCTCGAGTACGGCGGCCACGTTGGTACTATCCGGTTGTCCGAGCAACATGATGGAGCTGCAGGTCGACATCGCGGACAGCCAGCAACCGCTAAACCTATCCAAGAAATCGCCATCCCCGTCGCCATCACCCAGACCGCTCGTCGGACCGTGCAAGGCCCTCTCACTCGAGGCGTAGTGTTCTCGCGAGTTCGAGTGATCTCCCGTGACACGTGCTGACGCGCGCGAAACCGGAATGTCTGATCCATCTATCACTTACCGGCGTGCGTTAATCGTCGTCGTAACGCGGTACAACCTTCCCCGTCTCTTAACTAGAAACGAAAGTGCCAGGACGCTTTGAGCGCGTGACAAACCAAATAATTTATTAATTTAAACTACTTATTGCTAAAAAAAAATCGCGCGAAAAAAGGAGGTGGAGGTTACGGAGGAACGGACGAGATATATCTCCGCATATATATATATATATACATATATAAATATATATATATATATTTACGAGGAAGACAGACATTCTCAGTGGCGAGAGTTCCTTTTTTTTTCCGAAAGTGTGCGAAACGACGATGGAAAACGGACATCATGGACGGACGCTTGCGCCGTTGAGTGCCGATCCGATGAGAGCAACGATGCCGTGTAAGGGAGCTACCTATCCACCTAAAACTACCTATCTACCTGTCTACCTACCTAAAAACCTATCTGCTCTAGGTGTACATCTAGAAGATAGAGCATCAGCGAGATGGAAAAAAAATAAAAGATTGAGTGTTACAGAAATTAATAATCTATCTACATGTGATAATCATGGAAATCGCGCATCCTGTACAGTCTCCACCTCATTCATCGATCATCTACTCTACTATAATTATTGAATATTATAAAACTAATTAATATTATTGTAATATGTGTAAGGTATTATAATCGTAAAAAAATTATCATTTTTTCGTGTACGTGTATAGAGAAAAAAAGACGCGTATGATACTCTTGCGCGAATGACGAGAGGGAGACGTAGAGAGAATGAGATAAAAAAAAAAAAAATGAAAGCGAGCGAGTGACGAGTGAACGTGCTTGTGCAAATGAGTCGGGGCAAATCGAAAAGCTTCTTGATCGCGGTGGCAACCGAGATTGGAAAATCGCGCATGCGATTTTACAGAATTAAACGTTTTGTTATGAGACTGATCGGCCCGCCGCGGCCACTAGTTTGCAATTACCGTACCTTTGTACACTACGTGTCGTGTCTCTTCGTCTCTTCGAAGAGTAACGACTCGAGAAGTAATTATATCCTCTAATCGCGCCGTATAGCGAGATAGGTATCGTAGGCCCGCTTAAACGCGTTATACAATATTATGTGTCGTGTGTGCATGCATTGAAAGTCAGACGGATAGATCGAGATAGGATCGCGAGAGAAAAAGAGAGCGAGAGAGTGGGCGACGAAAACAAAGTTAGAAAGGAAGAAAGAGAGAGAGAGAGAGAGATAATGAGAGAATGAGAGAAGCCGCGAAGCAAAGCGGAGTTCCGATAGAATGGCGAAGCGCGGTGTAAATAGTAGATTCGTAAGGCTATGTCTTGGCTAGGCGCGAGTGAACCTCTTTTGCTTCGAGAAAATCGTGAGGGAAAGTTAGAAGATACGCGGCGGGTCGCCGCCGACGTGTTGTTGAGACGCCCGCCTTTCCCCCTTCCTCTCCCCCTCCTTCCCCCCTCTTCCCCGCCTAAACTCTATCTCCCCCGAATCCTAGTATGAATATCGCATCAAACACGCATAAAAAAATCTACAACACGCTGAGCGAGTAAACAGTGTAGAAACACTTATGCCTCCTTTTGAGACGGATCCAGATACCCCTAAGGAGAAAGAGAGCTCGCTTTAATCAAGTCCGATTCCGTATTGGATCGATGATTGCAAACCGAGTTGCAATCGCAACCTCGATTAGATTAAAGGGAAGCTGGTCCGCGTCAAAACGGGGTATTGAAAGCACATTCAGTCTCCCGGCTGGAATATAGCCTAGCCAGAAGTATTTCCTAAACACCCAGCTTTTAGAGGCCTCTGTATTTATTGTACCTAAAGAGAGTGCATTTTTTTTCTCCCCATTTCGCCGTGTAGCGTGTATCACAACCCGTCCCCGTTTGTCCTCGAACGAGTCCTCGTATAGAATCCTCCTGGCTCTCTTTTACAAAATACACGCATGGACACAAGAGACAGACATATTTACACAACAGCAACACACATGCACACTAAAGCGAACACTTGTCTTGTCCCTACCCCCGCAGACAACCTAGCGTTGATATCGTAATACTTGTTATGCATAAACTACACATAATTATTATAGTGAACGATACATATAAAGTATGATATATTTCCCTATCCATTAAGAAGAAGAATACAAACAGCTGTTGTTTCTGGTGGAAAAAAACGAAAAATATGGATATAAAACGTACTCTATTACATGCAAGAATACAAATGCAGCCCCGCATATTGCCCAGTGAGCACGTCATTTTGTACGCTTGGGAGTTGTGAGGTCGTCTGAATAAACATTGTCTGGTGAATTATACATAAAAAAAAATTTGTCTACTTATTTACTTCTCTAGCCCGACCTTTCTCCAAATCTTTCTTCCGCAAGCTCATATCCTTTTAAGAATATTTCAATCTTATATTTAAATTTTTATCTCTATATAATTCTTATTTATTTAAGCATATAATTAAATTGCGAATTTAATAAAATCTAATTTTAAAAAATATATAGGTTTAAAATATGCATAATATTTCTCTGCATACAAAAAAATATATGACACCCTGAGTAAATGCAATGTAGATTAAAATGTTACGCAATCGATTGTTATTAAACATATTGATTGAGAAATAATTACTTGTGTTTCTAAAAGAACAGACTTTTACTTTGCTTTTAAAATACTGATTTAATTTCTGCAATAATCTCGTATATCGATGTTCAGACTAGCCATGTTATAGCGTCTATTTACAACTTTTTTTGATAAAACCTTGAACTTTTATATGCAGCCTTGTAAGTATTTCGATACGAACACGATTGGAATTAGTGAACGCATTATCGACAAGAACGCCGATTCGATTACAAGGAACTCGAATTAAGCTCTCCGCCAATTAGGATAATAAAATAAAATTTCGTGCGACACGCATACACAAATTTATCGATTAAGATTGTTCCAAGAATCGAGGAAAATAATTATTTAATTATCTCTTTCTACATAATTACATGTTCTATAACGCATCGAGAGGAAGAGAAAAATCCAATATTAATTTAGCATCGTTTAACATCACGATGGGAACATCCTGAGAATTAATCGCGACGGAGAAGTGCAACCGCGTGTTCTCCAGTTGTGTAATTGCTTTTCCGAGTTTTCCGCTTTGGCTCTCGCGCGCACAGGGATACAGGATCCCTTTTCGTTAATCCGCCTACGACGAGGTGCGGCATAACAGGAGCGGCAATCACTCCGCGCTCGCGTAAATACCTTTATACCTACATCTATACAGTAACGGCGCGTGGCATATCGTGGGCGTCGGTTGCCACGCAACCAACCTGCTTCTCTCGCTAACGTGAACTGTCCTATCGTGAACTTTGCACTTCGCCTCGACCGCATCATCGTGCCGATGCGCTCCATCATAACCGCGTTGTGTCAGACGAGGGCGTTGTATTTTCGATAGGGCGAACTATTGTCTAAAAATATCGGCCGGATTGAAAACGAAGCATGCGAATTGGCCTCGCTTTATTTCACAATATAATTTAATTATTTTAATTTATTGTAATCAAATGCGAGAAGAAGCGTTACTGTGTTATATTTTATTACGCGCGATTTGCTCTTATTTTTTGTACTCGAAAAGAAATAAAAAAAATATAATAAATGTTACGTCAGATCTCCAAATAAATTCATATTCATATCCGTCTATTAAAAAAGTTGGTGTTTGATTTTTTGAAATCGCACATCTAAATTGATACGAGGTTCCATTTAACGTATATCCATTACGAGGTGCATCACACGAAACTGCAACGCACGCGTTGTTAATCCGAGTAAATTCTCAGACGTCGAGCTGCACTTCTATACCATTCGGTCGGTCAGGGTATCGTCAGGCTGCGAATTAAGCAGGCAAAAAGAGAACGAGAAAGAAACTGTCGGACAGAGATCGACAAGGAGCCGTCGACGAACAATAAACCGCTGAACAGAACTTGCTGTCGAGCGCAAACGCGGTTAACTCGAAGGTCGCTCGTTAATCCGCGAGGGCTCGTGTGCTATGAGTATATATATCTTACCGTACCGCGGCAATTATACAAAATAATAACTTGCGAATAATATTATCCGTCCCTATCTATTTCTCATTCTCTCGAATATATATATACGAGACGAATGAAATCCCGATAAGATATCCTCATTTTATCCCTCTATAAGTTTGGCGTTAAAAATAATCGGGAGAAATAAATAAAAATGTTGGCTAATTTCGGCTCATTGTCTCTCGTTCGTTTACTGATACAGAAGGAGGGTTTATCAAAAGAGGGGATGCTGATCTCGTCGAATATATGTCTGCGACCTCGGTCGGACCTTGGACGCGCTCCTCAGCCGAGACACAGCCTGCGAGCAGGGCTTTTATGCGTGGAAGAAAGAGAAAGAAGAGAGAGAGAGAAGAGAACGGAAGTGCGGGGGACGGGAGCAGGCTGTGGATACGCGGCTCGGTAATGTGAGGGCGTCCTGGAGGCTAAAACCCCGTCTGGGAATGTACTACGCTTACCCAGGGACAGCGCGCATTCTCGAACACCAGTCAAAAGGTAGCCTCGAGCCGAATACGTCGCTGGAAGGATTCCTCCGCGAAAACAATGCTCGCCACCGCGGTTTTCCAATAATTGGATTCTAAGTACAAAGCCGGTCCTCGCGAAACATAAATCGCAGGTCGCAATCGGGGATGATTCCCAGCGGATATGATAACTGATGCTTAATTAAAAATATATATTCATTTTTTTTGACTTTTCAAGAAATAAATCACAATTAAATATAACGATATAAGAATCCTAGAAAATGTTATCCGAATAAAATTCTTTCCATCTTTTGACACAGCAAAATGTGCCTCTAAGCAACGTAATCTCTTATAAAGCAATTCAGATTATAAGCACGATCCTCTCATATTATTGTGTAGATCGTGATGGTATATATAATATGAACGCTCCCTTTATTATTCTCGAATCTTTCCCTCTCTCTCTTCCGGGTTAACGCACTTTCTCCGCGTCTTTCGATGACCTATCCTGTCGACCTCCGCCCTTCGGCAACCCTCCTACGTTCTAGTTTTCCACGTGGCAAGGTCGCACGACCCGCGCGAAAAACCATCCTTACGCACGAAATAACTCGCCCAGGACCCAGGTTTTTTTCATCCCTCACCAACCCGAAAATTTACGAGCGAAACGGCCTTCAACCAAGGGAATTTCTTTAAGAGGTACATGCGTTGTTATATGAAAGTCTCTCCGCGATTTTTCCCTGTTGATTCTCAAGGGATCTTTCAGTGTGCCTCCCTTAAGAACGAATTCGTGTATCATAGCTTTCATCGTGATAGATTTCAGACGTAATAGCTTATTTAAATTGACGATATCTATAATTTATACAGAACACTTCCTCTTACGTATAAAACGCATTTTTAAATTTCGTTAACTTAAATACTGAAATTACTGAGATTTTTTTTAAATCAAATATTTATAATTCGTTGAAGTAATAATAATTTTGATAACTTATATTTTTGCAAAGTTTTCCAGTATTATAATTACGGATTTTTATATAAATAATCTCACTTGTTACGTATTCTTATAAAATATGTTGTACGAAAGAGAAAGTTTGAATTTCACATAGAAAACAACAAGGAACGAATAGCTGTACCTTGACCTACCATCCTTGGCCGTCATACAAGATATGGATTAATATTTGTGTCCGACGGTGCACGTAAAGAGTTGACCAGTTCGAGGGGAAGCTAAGACCTTGAGCCAACAAAGAGCAAACACTCATTATCAGCCGAGCAATGTCAAGCGACAAGCAAGTTTCTCTCCTCTCACTTTTCGCTCTCTCTCTATCGAGGGGATTGCAATATCTGTCAAGTCTTTGCAATGCGACAAACAATTCTGTGTAATCAATAATATTAATATAACGTACGATTAATACCATAGAAGATTAAAGATTAATAAGATTAGCGTATTATTGCTGCAATCTGTGACGCAGGAATGCATATCTCTTTATCATTTCATATTTATTACATATATAACATTCCATAAAATATTGTATATATTATAAAGTCTTATCATTAAAATATTATTTGGTTTATATATTATTGATATATATATATATATATATATATATATATATTTATATTTATTTATTTTGTATTAAGAGATGTGCAAAAATATTTTTGTCTCAGTTGATGCACGTCATATAAAATATTAAATAAAAAATTATTTAAAAAAATAAATCTTTTAATATATTAATATATTTAATACAGTAATACAATTTTTTCAAGCGTAATAAAAATTGCGATAATGCGCATAAGATAGAAAGTTATAGTTTGACTTTGTGATAACTATATGTGCAAGGATAGTAGAGAAAATATGCGTGATTGGTATCAACCCGTATGATATCTAGACCGATCAGATAGAATGTTATGAGGTTAACGGGAACGAGATATTGAAATCAGGGTTATAAAAAAAATACGAAAGGTATGTCGAGCAATAGAGATTAAATTATAAATAGGGGAACGAATCATTTATTTAATGCCGAAATATTGATTTATAAAAATTGCGCTATTTCTTATAAGCACAAAAATATTAAAATTCATTTCCTCGGCAATCTTCGCCCCGAGATAAAAATAACCAAAACACAATTCGCAACATCGGAACACGTTTGCAAGAAATTTATCTTGCTCGCCTACATGATCCTACAGGTTCAACGATGATAGACGATTCAGATTATCCATGAACCATGGATGCAATTTATTATTCACGATTGAACCGAGGGTAAGAAAAAGTCTCGAATATTTGATTCTTATTTTTAAGAAAAAATATAAGCAAAACGAAAGTTAAGGAAAGTACGCGAAAGTCGCATTTTAGATATTCGTCCTTCCATCGACAAAATATAGATGCACATATTCGGGAATAAAAGCCATATAAAAGCTTCCGAATACGAGAATCATCAATTAATAATGTACATAATTAAATAATGGGAGAAAAAAACAAAAAAATTTAATGCAGAAAATTGAAACTACACATATGCTAGTAAAACAACATTATATCAAATGAACTTACTGTTATGTATGGCATTTCATATTGCGATATTCGCGTGCGTGAGTCTCTCAGTTAGACTTTCGAATATAAGTTCTTGAAACGACAGTGCCGATTTAATTGCAATATTCTGTGCAGGC